AGTGGGAGCCAATAAGCTTTTAGAGAGAAGAGAAAAGATATTATTGCACTTTTGTAGAATTGTTGGAGCTCTGCCTTACAGGGTATTAATGACACTCCGTTTTATAAGGGACGGGGGGGGGGGAGCCAAAACTTAGTACAAGAGACGTTGCGTGATAGAGAAAAGGAGATGGGACAGCCAACTAGCTTTATGACATGTGCGTGGGCCGACGTTGAGCTGCTCGAACAGACTTAGTCGACCCCGGATACGTTCTTCGGGAACTCTCTGCGTTCATCGGGGTTTCGGTCGAAGTTACTTTTGGCTGGATGTCGACATATCTCGAGGAAAATGGCCAGCTCGAGATTCCGGACCTCTGGAGTGATCTGTCGAAGCATTTTGCTAATGAGAAGTCGGTCCTCCGATTTCACCGTGCACACAGTTATTGACTAAAACAAAACTAGGAAAAGACTTGTCATTAAAAAAAAAAAAGCAAATTAAAGAAAAAGAAGTTCCTTTCAAATTTGATATCAAGAGTTAGCAACTCATTTAAAAAAAAAAAAAGAAAAACAACAAAAAAGAGCAATTCATTACAAATTCTTGGTACTTGATGCATCCTCTTCATGTTGAAACTACGAATTTCATCCCTAGTTTCAAGATTTTCCATTTTGTACTCCCGCTCCATACAACATCTCTAGTGCTAATTTAACACCACTAGATCCATTTATCCTTCCTCCAACCTCAGGTGGTTATGATGGGCACTGGGATACTATAAACTAATCATCACTATGTGCAGTCCCATGTTATCAAAGAAGCCTACTCCAATATTGGTTTTACAGAAAGGAACTTGAAATGCTAAATTTAAAAACACTCGTCAATTAGGCCTATTTCCCATAAAAAGAACATCAGTCAGTCAGTGATGCCCACTTCGCATATCTCAGCACCAATCTGAACTGAAGCGCTGCCTAAGCGACGCAAAACACTCTGGCCTGTTTTTCATATAGTTTCTGGCCTGTTTGACAGCACTGATTGGAAGTCGACTCCTGGGTCTGAAATAGAAGGTTGTACCAAAAAATCCTTCCTTTCTTGTCCACTCAAGGGGTGTTTCACCACGTGTATGTAGACTAGACATTAGTGAGCCTTAAACCAACTTCATCTCACAAAATGATGAATTGCATCAGCAATAACACCTTTTCAATCAAAATCCAACTAACCCATGCTAATGCTCTTGAACCATCATCTTATTCTAGCAATACAAACATCAGCTACAGGAAATAGGTGACGAATTTTTTATATCCCCAGATAAAACTACTCCAACAGTCCAACTTCCCCTTTAACTGCCGTAATTTCTATCTTTCAGATAATCAAAATTATGTTCACTTTCCTAGAAAAAAGAAATCCCTAAACTATCCATTATTTATTTATTTATTTATAGTGTACTCAAAATCACACCAAACTTTGTAAATATCTTATCATTAGAAAAAGGATATCATTCGATTAAGAAATTAATGCTAACAGATTTCTTATGGGCCAATAGAGCATTAAAAAAAGAACTTACCAAAGCCCATTTGATCTTTGTATGAAGAAAAGGGTTCATCGACAACTTTCTTAGGAGTAATATCTTTCACCAATTCATCATACGCTTTTCTCTCCGAAGCTTCCTCCAGTTTCCTCAACCGAGCTTTGAGTTCTTCGCTTTTCTCTCTAGGCTTTGGGCTGGAAAACACGAAATTGGATCCGGATAACATGACCATTAGATCGGGTCGTGTTGATGGGTTAGAACCGATCCAAATCGATCTCAGATGCTTGTATGGTACTGTGGGATGATCGCATAGGGAGGATGCGAGTTCTCTAAGGTCATCGGAGAGTTCGACGTCCGAGGAAGCTCCGGCGAGAAACGAATGTATGGTCTCGGTGGTTGAAAGAACAAGACCATCGTTTCCGCCGCCATCTACGGTTGTTGTCCCGGTGGCGCCGGTAGTGGTGGGGCTGTTTTCTGCGGCAATCATTTTAATTTGGGTTTAAACTTTCAAGTTTCAATTGGAACTCAGATGAGCTTTTGTTTCTTTGGTTCGATCTACTCCTAAAGCAAAAAGGTTTTAAAGTTTTCTATTGTTGTTATAAAACAATAAGACAACAAAGAACAGTATTGCAAAGAAACGTAGGGAGAGACAATTGTTATTTGGGACGAATTACAATGGAAAAGAATTCTCTATTTATAGGAATAGGGTGACTTAGCCACCAAGTAATGAACCATAGAATCTCTCTAAATATAGACACTCACCATAAATACAATTCTATTTATAACACTCCCCTTGAATGTCTATTCAACAGATAATGTGTTTCGTTAAAACCTTAACTAAAATAAAACCCAGTGGCAAAAAAATTCTAGAAAAGGAAAAAGAGTAGACATATCTACAATACGCCTTTTGGTTGCCTCGTTAAAAACCTTCCAAGGAAAACCCAATGGGACAAAACATTGTAAGGGAAAAAAAGTACAACGCGTATTAACTCCCCCTGATGAGAGCATCAATTCACATCTTTAAGCATTCGCATTCCAATCTTGTGCACTAGCTTCTTGAAGTTTGACGTCGGCAGAGATTTGGTGAATAAATTAGCCATATTAAGTCCAATGAATATGTTGTACCTTGAAAATACTCGCTATCATATTATTATGCTTATAGTCATAGCAAGATACATATGTGCGCAAATAACACTTAGGATATGATACTTCAGGACCAAGAATTGTATATGCTTTAAGCGATTTAAATCCTTCAAGGATTGTTAAGTCATATAAGCCATATAATAGACTTTAGATGCATATCAAGTTTTCATGTCATGCTAGACATATAAGATATCGAAAACTGATTGCACATACCATTGTCTTTATACTTTCAAGTGTTTGAACTACAGGTCCAAACTATATGTCTTTCATATGGAATCAATTCTACTTGAATTGTGTCTCTTCCATTTGGCCAATATTTTTGTGTCTATATTCGATAGACTTAAGATCCACATCTATACTTAGCACTATGATAGATGTAGTCGACAAATATTTATATCGGTTTTAACATTTTTAATAAAGACATAACATAGAGATCTCTTCATTCATTTCTGGTACCTAAACCTCTCTTGAGATTTTATGAAGTATTATGTCATGTGCTCTACTAGATCACTTGTCTCCTCTATTATGATCATTTTGATCATTTGCTCACCTTCTTTATCAAGAAGTTTATTTGAAACCAATTTGTCTATATGCTTTAAGCGTACCATAGACTTTGTCTTTCTAGGATTTATTCTAATAGGAACATTTGCATTGAGAATATAGTTACTTTCTTTGGGTCAGCAAATGTGTTGGCATACTTTGCAATATATTGCAGATGAATTATATTTTTATGAACTTCAAGTTCATATTATCTTATTCGAGGATCTAGATGTATAAATGATAATTCATTACACGTAATTTTTTCTCAATTGTTTATCATATCTCCCCCCTCATGTTAGAAAAATTAACTTATTACCTCAACTTTGAGAATCCACCTTTGTGCATTACGGTGTTAATCAAAATATACACCGCACATCAATAATAATAAGATAGAATTATTTGGTTCCTAACCGTTAACCACTTGTGAGGGGAGAAAATAATATACTTTGGTATATAACCTATAGCAAACTGATATAGATAACTTTGTTCTCATAACCAATTGTTTAGCTATTAAGTAGAGGCACTTAATAAATCATTTTGCTAAACCAACTTTGATGTAAACCAACTTATCAAGAAGAACTATCTTGAATAAAAGTTTTGGAAATTATGCTCTAAATTAAATCATTGAGCAAGTTACCTTGCAAACACCAGGTTTCGGGTCAATAATAATTGCACATGTAACCATCTCATAGATGCATCTTATGTGGTATATATGGCAGGTGAATGAGCCCATATTCACCTTTGATATTTCCAGCATTCATGGGATTCAATCCCAATTTTAGTTGGTCAATAATTAATGAGAACAAGCAATATAAGAGAATTCGTAAAGAACTTTCTAGCTCTTTAATATTTACTCATGTGAATTCTCTATTATTTTTGCACATCATACTTAAATTGATATGGCTAAACCAATTACGCCAACTGAATAAATTATCAATATTGATAAACTTCAGATTTACACAATGACGTGTGCAATTATCAATAAACTTCAAGTTTATTATAATATGGCTTTTTATATCGATAAACATCCACTTTAGTGTGGTATTCTTTTATTTGTGTAGTACAAACTGGAGAATAAAGCGGGTAGCTTTTCACATACATATTATCCCTCTACAAGTAGTAGTAATAGAAGATATTAACTCTTTCCTTTATTTATAGTCTCAATATAATCAACCGCTTTCGCGTATACTTTGGAAACTGAATAAGTTTCTTTGAGACTTACTACAACACAATACCTTATTGGTAATCAATTGTGTTTCCCCAAAATAGTATAATTGGCTCTTGCAGAGTTCTCAATTAATTTTATACTACCACATATTCATCAACATCCATATGGTGAATATCTCTTTTAAAGAGAAAGTTATACCATTATGGTTATGGTCAAAATTATATGCAAGATATGTTTCTTGCATTAATGTTATTCTTTAATAATCACATTACCAAAATATTTTGGCGTGCAATAGGTATGTGACCAATGACCATTCATGCCATAATAATGACATTATTTTCTTATATCATCTCAAACCTCCTTCTAGAGGTGAGTGTGGTATATTCACTACCACTAGCACGTTCATATTCTTAAAAGAATGAATATGTCTTCATAAATCAGATGTTGTCACATTCACATCATGAATGGACCATAATCATGTATATGTGCTTTGAAAATCTCATGTCAAATCGAAGACAAATATTACCTTCACAGAGTGAAAAATTATTTTGAGAATCCTTATTATTCTCATTATCACAATGATGACGATTATAATTTCGTCTATTGCCACGTCCACATCCATTGATACCTTCACAGTAATAATTTTTTCTTCTTTCAGACTTATCACATATTGCTATCACATTCTCTTAAGGGAATGGGAATGAAGCAAATTCAATGGGACGGGTTTTCACTTCTTGTGCTCACGATCATACATGACTTTGATCATGGCAAGACATAGAAATTTTACCACTTCGAGTGGTTATAATTTCTTACTAACTCCATTAGAGTTATAATCAAAATTTATTTTCTTTGCTTGTATTTAAAATCAAATTAAAGAATAAAAGAGAAAAATACGGTAATATGCATACCTTAAATCCAGAATTTAATCATGAAGGAAGTTCATGGAACAATTAACAATCATTATGCTCAATCCCAAAGCTTCTACTCAATTGGTTAGAGTCTCGTGCTGATAACGTGTTATAAAACAATAAGCGAAGAAGAACAGTATTGCAAAAAAAAGTAGGGAGACAGAATTCTTATTGATTTTGGGATGAATTACAATGGAAAAGAACCCTATATTTACAGGGAGAGGGTGACTTAGCCACCAAGCAATGAACCCTAGAATTTCTCTATTATAGACATTCACCATAAATACAATTCTATTTATAACAATTGTTACTTTTTTCTTTTCTTTTTTGTATTTATAAAGAGTACTCCTATTATAGGATTAAAGAAGGCGAAATACATAAACGGCATCTTTAAGTTGTCCCCAACGATCAGTTGAACACATACATTTCCCATTGACCAACTAGACACCTTTACTTGCCAGAAGTATATCTTCTGAATCTTTATGGCTGATGTGGCATATGCGTGTCCGATAACAAGATTTTGAGCGCGTGAAGTTATTTTTTCAACCTAATTTTCTTTTTCTTTGACAGAAAAATACATCTTTTTCTCTTGGTCCCTCTCCTACCTTCATAGCTGAGACTCACCTCCATTATCGACCACCATTCATGGCAGCCTTAATCAAGTACCCAAAAAACTATATCACTACAGCTTTATCTAAAACACCCCTCTTCTATAATTCTTCTCACTGCTAAGTAACCACCACATAAACACCAATAGCCCTATCATCCTCATCTTCATCACCCCATCATCCTCATCTCCACCAAATAAATACCAACAACACATTCAATCGCTGTCGATGACAACATCTTACTTCCAACAGAAACACTAAAATAATAACCAATTGCTTGAATCGGCTAGACAACAGTTTAAGGAGAAATTTACACAAAAAATAACAAACTAGCAATAGTGATATAACCCAAATTCAGCATCAATAAGATGATAAAGTGAGAAGACTGAAGATTTCAATGGAGTCAATTCTATCAAATTTGCCCGTCGAAGGTGGCAACGATAGAGTCCAATTGGTGGCATATTCACTTCAACTCCCCCAAAAAATTAAATAAACTAACAAGTTCAAGGGCTCTATCAGACGTGGAAAAATGAGACAAATAGAGAAAGGTCGTCGGAGATGAGCTTTTCCAACAAGGTCCATCAATGACCCTTGGAGGGTTCTTCACTTGGTTATTCTCAGTTTTTATTTATATTCATATGAGTTTTATGGAAGAGTTTTAGTGTTTAAGTTTTGAAAAAGAGTGGTTAAAGTAATGAGGGAAGGTCTGTCAAAGGAAATAGTGGGGAAGAAATGGAGAAGGGCGGTGGTTTGGAAAAGCAAAAATGGGAAGGGAAAGGGGAGGGGTGTTTGTTTGGAGAGACGATGGGTTTGTTTGGATGGAAGGTGGTTTTGGGTTTTGTTTTTTTATTTTTATTTATTTAACTTAATAATTTTCATTCTTTTAATTATTGATTGTAATTTTTAATTCTAAGTTACACATGTTAATATCTTATTTGTTCATTTGCCACGAACTAGCGATTGCATTTCACGCATGTGATCTGTTGAATGAAGGTGTTCAGAAGATACACTTCTGCCAAGTAGAGGTGTTTAGTTGGTCAATTGGAAAGTGAAGGTGTTCAATTGATCGTTGGGGATAACTTAAAAGGGGCCGTTTATGTATTTCGCCATTAAAGAATTTAGACAAGTTAGTTTGACTTGACACGAAATTTAAGAGAAAAGACGGAGACTTTAAAACTTGTGGTCTTAAAAGCTTAAGGGATAAAAGTTTTGTGGGGTCATGACATTTTCATTAAGGTGTAGGCATATAAATTTTATCGAAATTAAATCAATAAA